AACTCCGAATCTCTGTAGTTGATGCTGGTCTAGGCCAGTTCTTGACTGCCTCAATCTTCTTCGGATCAATCTGAATACCCTTTGCTGATACAACATGACCCAGGAATGCAACTGAACTCAGCCAGAACTCACACTTCAAAAACTTAGCATATAACTGACTATCCCTCAAAGTCTAAAGAACCACTCTAAGATGCTTCTCGTGCTTCTCCCGGCTACGAGAATATATCAAAATATCATCAATGAAGACTATCACGAACAAATCCAAGTAAGGCCTGATACTTGTTTCATCAACTCCATAAAAGTTGTTGGGGCATTTATTAACCCGAATGACATCACCAAGAACTCATAATGCTCGTACCGAGTGCGGAAAGCGTCTTAGGAACATCGGATGCCCTAATCCTCAACTGATGGTAGCCAGATCTCAAATTGATCTTCGAGAAGACCTTGGCACCCTGAAGCTGATCAAACAAATCATCAATCCTCGGCAATGGATACTTATTCTTGATTGTAACCTTGTTCAACTACCGGTAATCAATACACATTCTCATCGATCTGTCCTTCTTCTTAACAAACAACTCCGGTACACTCCAAGGCGAAACACTACGTCTAATGAAACCTTTCTCAAGCAAGTCTTGCAACTGCTCCTTCAACTCTTTCAACTCAAGCGGGGCCATACGATACGACGGGATAGAAATGGGCTGAGTACCTAGAGCCAAATCAATGCAAAAGTCAATATCCCTGTCAGGCGGCATACCCGGCAGGTCCGAAGGAAATACCTCAGGAAACTCGCGAACAACAGGCACAAAATCAATAGAAGGAACCTCAACACTAGAATCACGAACATAGGCCAAATAGGCCAAACACCCCTTCTCGACCATACTCCGAGCCTTCATATAAGAGATAACACTGCAGGTAGAATGACCAGGAGTCCCTTTTCACTCTAAACAAGGTAAACCTGGTAAGGCTAAGGTCACAGTCTTGGCATGGCAGTCCAAGATAGCGTGATAAGGTAATAACCAATCCATCCCTAATATGACATCGAAATCAACCATGTCTAGAAGCAGCAAATCTACACGAGTCTTAAGACCCCCAATCACAACTACACAAGAACGATGGACTCGATCTACCACAATAGAATCACCCATCGGTGTAGACACATGAATAGGAGTACTCAAAGAATCACTAGGCATGACCAGATACAGTGCAAAATAACATGACACATAGGAGTATGTAGATCCTAGATCAAATAAAACTGAAGCATCTCTGCTACAAACCAGAACAATACTTGTACCTCCACCTCTAATACCTCTACCTCCACCTCTAGCACATCTACCTCTGCCTCTAATACCTCTACCTCCACCTCTAGCTAGTTGAGTAGGCTAAACGAGTCCCTCAATGAACCTCCTCACTCTCTCTAAGTGGGAAGTATGATAAGAGCATGACGGTCCAAGTCGACGAATCTGGTCTCATACTGAGTAACAGTCATAGAACCCTGCTAGAGATGCTTAAACTGCCTCCGATAGATCTCTCTCTGAGTGATAGGGAGAAACTTCTCCAGAAATAGCTAAGTAAACTGCTCCTAAGTCGAAGCTGGTGACGCAACTGGTCTAGCCAAATAATAACCTCTCCAACAAGTCTTTGCAGATCCAGACAAGTGAAAAGTAGCAAAGTCGACCCCATTGGTCTCCACTATCCCCATGTTCCTGAGAACCTCATGACAACTGTCTAGATAATCCTGGGGATCGTCAGAAGATGCACCGCTGAAAATGGTAACGAGGAGCTTGGTAAAACCTATCCAACCTCCACAAAGCCTCCGAAGATGTAGCTGATCTAACACTGGTCTGTGTTGATGTTCGGCTGAAGAAGTGATACGTGACCTCGCCATTCGCGAAAGGACAAGAGTAGAGGTTTCAATTTAGCATTGAGAGAACAAAATCGCACGATAGGAAAGAATAGATGTGAAGATTTTTCCTAACTCTGTAGCCTATGGGGGATAAATACAGACGTCTCTGTACCGATCCCCCAGACCCTACTAAGTTTGTTTATGAACTGTGAGACCCATGTAACCTAGAGCTCTGATACCAACTTGTCACGACCCGGATTTTCCACCCTCGGGAGTCGTGATGTCACCTACTAGTGTGAGCTAGGCAAGCAAATTATTGAACAAGTAACCTTTTAAACCTTTTTTATACTCTTTAATAGTTATAAAGTAATAACGTGTAAACAGCGAAAATTTAAAATAAATGGAAGAAAAGCAATAAAATATCTGATCATGTAACTAATACAACTGTTTAAGCCTTAACCACCCAGAACTGGTGTCATAGTGTCACAGAAGATCTATGATTTACTACATACAAAGTCTGAAAAATAAACGATATACTGTTTCTGAATGAAGGAAATGAAACAGGCATAGAGGGAGACACCAGGGCCTGCGGATGCCTGCAGGTCTACCTTGGATCTCCGCGTGGACTAAAGGTAGCCACCCAATCTACGATCCAAAAGCTGCTCCGGGATCTGCACATAGTGCAGAGTGTAGTATCAACACAGCCGACCCCATGTGTTGGTAAGTGCATAGCCTAACCTCGGTGAAGTAGTGACGAGGCTAGAACCAGACTACCGCATAACCTGTGCAATTCAACTATATACAGTGGATAAGAAGAACATTAATATACAGTCAAGTATGGGAGGAGGAAACATGTTGCGGGGAAATATCGAATAATAACATAAGAATAACAAATAAATATAAGGATCACCACAGTTCAATTGAAAATAGGAAGGGGAAATCATGTTGCGGGATACAACAAGTATCAACAGGAAACCAGCAATTAAATGTAGAGAAACCGTAATTCAGTTATCAATAAAAATCAGGAATCAAAGACAAGTGCACCACGTCACCCTTCGTGCTTTAACACTCCCTCACCAAAACAATACATGGCATCACCCTTCGTATTTTACACTCTTTCTCACCCAAGCAACAAATCACAAGGCAAATAGGGTAAGTGAATCTATAATATCGAAATAAAATCAAGTAAGAACAGAAAATCAGTAAGTAAACGTAAAGGACAACATAACTCAATTATCAACAAGAATCAGGAAAATCAAGGACAAGTGCACGGCATAACCCTTCGTGCTTTTACTCTCGTCCTCACCATAAGAATCAACATAAACTGCACGGTATCACCCTTTGTCCTTTTACTCTCATCCTCACCATAAAATCAATATAATAGGCACTAAATGGTACATCGTGCGACACAACATCACCCTTCGTGCTTTACACTCTTCTTCACAAAAATCATGCACAGTATCACCCTTCGTGCTTTACACTCTTCTTCACAAAAATCATGCACAGTATCACCCTTCGTGCTTTGCCACTCTTCCTCACCAAAACAATATACGGCATCACCCTTCGTGCTTTTACACTCTTCCTCACCCAAACAACAATCACAAATAATAGGGTAAGGGAATAAATGAAATTACGATAAGAATCATGGCAAGGGAATAATAGTTCAACAATTAAGTCCCGGCAAGGGAGTAACATCAAAAGAAACATCAACATCCCGGCAAGGGAGATAACATTAAAAGCAACAATATCCCGGCAAGGGAGATAATATAATGATCCTCTTCTCTTTTTCACTTTTACTTCACAACTCACTTTACCACTTTGAGCCAATGCTCTAAAAGGTTCAATTTCCACTTATATTTTCACATTTCGATGTACAACTCGAGCCAACGCTCCTTAATGTTCAAATGTCACAATTACTTTCACAAACTTTGCCCAACAATAAAAATCATCATCAAAGCATGAATAATACAACGAGGCCATAATAGTCACAATATAAGGCTCACGGGCATGCTTGACACCAACGTATAGATACTCGTCACCATGCCTATACATTGTACTCGACAAATACCACATAGCAAATAGGAATCGAATCCTAATTCCTCAAGCTAAGGTTAGACCAAACACTTACCTCGATGCCACAAATACAATTCACGTCTCAACTATCGCTTTACCTCTTGATTCCACCACCAATTCACTCGTATCTAGCCACAAGTTACTTAATTATATCAATAAAGGCTAAATGAATCAACTCCAATGCATAAAAATGAGTTTTCCAAAGTTTTACCCAAAAAGTCAAAAATTGCCTCCGGGCCCACATGGTCAAAACCCGAGGTTCGAACCAAAACCCGATTACTCATTCCCCCACGAACCCAAATATATAATTTGTTTTGAAATCGGACCTCAAATCGAGGTCCAAATCCCCAATTTTTGAAAAACATAGGTTCTACCCAAAACACCCAATTTCCCCCATGAAAATTATTGATTTTGAGTTGAAATCATGTTAAAAGATGTAAATGATTGAAGAAAACGAGTTGAAATTGACTTACAATCGATTTGGAAGAAGAGTTGTTCTAGAAAAATTGCCGTAGGGAGTTTATATTTTGAAAAGATGTGAAAAATGGTTGATTTTCGGCTAAGTATAAAAATTGCAGGTTGCAGATATGGGAATTGCGAACCCCGACCTCTGTTAGGTTCGCATTTGTGAAAAAGGGCTTGCATTTGCCAGCTGGGATTTGCAATCCATATGTCACATTTGTGATGACTACCTCAAGCTAGGGGATCGCATTTGCGATCAAAATCCTCGCAATTGCGAAGATAGGCTGGCCTTGGCTGCTTTCGCAATTGCGACCAAGCCCTCGCAAATGCGAAGCCTGCAGGCCTGCACAGAAATGGCTGAAGCCTGTAATTCCTTAAGTCCAAAAATTTACCCCGCGGCCTAACCAAAACTCACCCGCCAAGATTTTGTTATCTCTAATCCCGCCTTTAAACCCTCTATACTTATCTCTCACGTACATTAGGAGTGATGTTATTCAACAACTACCTACATATGTACCCTCTCTCTCAAACAATACATACTAAATAGGCACGGTGAATTGATGGCCATTCAATCAATAACAGTGAACACGTAGTTGAATAAGTAGAAAAATCTAATGGTTCAATTATATAAAAACATAACGAGACTTTATTTTACAAAAGGTTCCATCAAAACCATAGATAACAAATTATCTATTCTTAATAGTATGCAAAACTACAATAATAGAATTCATAACCAATAATAAAAATAGGAAGAAGGAAGTGAAAAACTCGTAGAAGAATTCTCTTCTTTGCTCCTAGCATGTTCTTGCCTCCTTGGGTCGAATCCCCTCTAATGATGTCTACCTCTTTTAAAAAATAACTTTAAGAAGTATTTATAATATAGGGTTAACGTGTCCACGTCAAAAACTAAGGAGGAAATAAAATTGGCTCAGATAGCATCATCGACGCAAGGCACTGTCTGGGGAACCAATATTTCCGTTCGAGGCACTCTTTATGGAACCAATATTTCCGTGCGAGGCACTGTCTATGGCATCAATGTTTCTGCGCGAGGCACTGTCTATAGTCATGACTTTTTATTGCCTTGTACGTCTTCTTTTATTGCTCCATTTTGTAGCTTTGAGGTACCATTTTATGCAACTTTTCTTCAATTCATGTCCAAGCATTTCTACACGTAAAATAAACTCTATTAAACTCAATTTTCGCACAAATTAACATACAAACAACAAGAAAGTAGGGTAAATAAAATCAAAATATATGGAATTATAGCACAACATTAAAGTTATTGGGTTGTATTTGACTATATTTGAGGCGTTCGAAGGTTGATTTGAAAGGAAAAGCTATGTTGGAAGGTTGAGGCTATTAGTGAGTGGAGGCAAGTCTCTTGTCTACCTAGTAAGAGGAAATTCTTCCCATAGGTGATTTGTTGCTATTTGCTACATGATTTAGGTGCTTCAAATATGTGAGGTGGCGAGCGCATATGCGTGGTTAGGTTTTAACTATAGCCAAATAAAGTTAGACTTATGTCTTGCCTTATTGAGACTTTATGAATTATTAGGCATGCTTCCTTGATTCTTTGACTGCGTGATAGATCATAAATTATATTTAGAGATTATGTGATAATTATGACTTATTGATTGAACTTGACAGACTTCTTTTACCGTGCTGAACTTTGTATTTTGGCCATATTCATGTAGTTGCCTTATTTGACTTATGATTTGAGGTTATTGCCACTTGTGGCTCATATTCGGTATTCGATCGGACTTTAAAATAACAAATGAACATGTTGAATTATGATGGATTGTTGGATTACATGATTAGCCATAGCTACCTCTTATAAATGTTGATGTTCATCCATATTTTACTATTATTTTCCAATACGCTTTTATTACATCATCTCATATGCATATATATGAGTTAGAGAATTGGATATTGAGAAAAATTGAGGATTTGGCACAAAGGATATTATGAGCGGATATTAATTATGGACTTCAATATTATTAATGAATTGGGTTGCACGTCTGAACAATGCTTGGATATGGATCCGTCCCTCCGAATTCAGGTGAGTGCCTATATTACTCTAGGCCCTATGAGCGCATGCACTTAAATTGGTGCTAGTTTGGATCCTTGGCTAGTGTCAGGTATATAGTTGGTACTGTGAGGTGTTGAGGTAGATCACGAGCATATATATGCATTCTAGATTAATGTCGTAGCCTTTACACATATTCTTATCCTGATTCTTAAAGTAATTTTGATATGTGATTATGTATTGCGGTTCTTTGCCTGAAAAGCATGCCTAAATATCCTTTACTACTGTGACTTAACCTTTATATCTATTTGGTGATACCATGCCTTACTTAATGCTTTTTTAATGCTTTCACTTGCTTATTATAATGTTAGTGATTGTCAGTGTCGATCCCTTGCTACCACTTCTTCGAGGTTATACTTGATACTTTCTGAGTACCGTAGTTTGTACTCATACTATACTTTTGTATTTTTTTTATGCAGATTCTGAAATCGATACCAGTCATACTCGTCCAGCTACTTAGTAGCTTGCATTCAGAGACTGCATGATGGGCTACCTACTCGTTCGATCCGCAACACATGGAGTCCCCCTCCCTTGATTGTCTATTTCTGCCTTTTGCATCTTTCATATTGATATTGCTATATTGTTAGATACTGTTTACTTTTATTATCATTAGATGCTCGCGATAGTTGTGACATCTGAGTTTTGAGCATTGCTAGACAGTTGTGGTCGTCTTTAGACCTTGTCTCAAATATTATTTGTCTTTATATTGGTTTGAGACTATTTCTGCTTTTATATTCATTATAATTCTTTTTGTAACTTAACAAATTGACTTCTATCTTGTTATTGAATATTGACTTGCCTAGCAAATAAATTAGGCGCTATCACGATTTTTGGTGTGATTTTAGGTCATGGCGGTATTAATGACTGAAGAACTTTTTTGAGGGGAAGAGAGGAATAGCCCACCTTGAGTGTTAATGATTGAAGAACCTATCTTAATTTATGTGTTATACTTACTTTTTTAGTCTATCACAAAAAGAATATTATATTTCTCTATTTAGAAATAATTTAATTTTAAACTTTAATTAATACATGACTTGTTTTAGATCATAAATTTTAATATTCTTTCTTTCTTTTTTTTCAAATTACATACCTAAAATAAATATTGTCACATAAAGTGAAACGGAAGAAGTAGGAAATACTAAGGTAGAACTAAGGACACAACTCTGTGATTGTGTGTGTGATTGTGTGTGTGATTGTGTGTGTGAATAGAGTATGGGCTTAGGGGACAATGTTAGAGAAGAAAGATTCTCTTGAATCATCAACTACCATCTACAAGAATCAAGTCATGTGGAGTGTCCATTTTGAAGTAAAAACGAAGAACGATAAGAAGGAAAAAGAAAAGGCAGAAATTGGAGCTAAAAAGGTACATATGTCAATAGGCCTACCATGTTATGTAAAGACCAAATTGATTTGAAATTCTAATAAAGCCTTTTACAAGAAGCACCTTCATCAAGTTTGGACAGAACGATATGCCCAATCTAAAAGTGTTCTTTGACTTTTGAGCCTGCAAAAGTAGTCTTTATTGCCCTACATTGTACTTTTTCTTTTTTTCTNGGGGGGGGGGGAGTGGAAAAGGCATATATAAAACTCAACATACTTACAATGTAATTTGAGTTTAAGGTGTAAAATTATTTATCATAATATATTAGGTTATTTATAAGGTTATTATACGTAAATATGTATGATTAACATTAATTAGTAACCTGATAAAAAGGTAAATAACTTGCAATAATAAGTTAAACTATATCAATCTTATTATAAAAAAATGTCTAGATTACCGGTGCATTTAACTTAAATGACCTTATACACTTAGCAGATTTAGATGATAGTTTTTCAATATTTTCTTGAGTAATAGCTTTGATTTTTCTTTTTTCTTGTTTGAGTGTATGATCAACTGTCCTTTCATGTCTCTATCTTGGTAGGTTTGATTTTATTGAGCAATAATCATCATGTTAGAGAAACTTTCATATTGTATTATTAATTTCAATTTAGAGAAAAATAAGTTCTTTTTTCTACTTCAAAATATACTGATAATATCATCACTTGCAAGAACAGAAGCTAGCTTTTCATTACTGATTCTTGAAAATAAGGACCCTAAACCGTTGAATAACATTCTTCTAATAATTCATAATTATAATAGAATCTCTTCGTTAAAATATCAACACGGTTTGTTGTAGTTTTCTAAGAAAAAAATGCAACATTAATTGTCGTTATTCGTTAAACTGGTGATCTGTAAAGAGAAAGTACAGTATCATTCTTGCTTTCCATGATCACCTTATCACCATTATCCAATTTACTAAAGTTTTCTCTTTGGGAAAGCACAAAGAGAAACTAAATAAAAGTTTTTCCAAGGCAATCTCTAACCCCTTTCTTCATTTTCTCCTCCAAAATGGAGTAAAATTATTTTAACCATTACTCCATTTTTTACTCCAAAACGAAATATTCCATTTAATATTCTTCTCTCTTCAATATTATATTATTATCTTTTATTTATATTTTATTTCTTATTTCTATTGAAGAAATTCTATCTTTTTTTTTCTTTTATATATATTCATCACATATAATTTATATTCCTTTCTTATATAACCACTTATTATAAAATTATTTTATACCATAAATTTTTAAATAAGTGTAACGACCCGGCCGGTCGTTTCATGAGTTACCGCTCTGTTTTCCCCATTCTGCTTCTTATTGCTTTTTACAGTTGTATTATGTGTTATCGGGTTGATTGGTTCGGGTTCGGAGAGGTTTTAGTAAGGTTTGAGACACTTAGTCTCTTTTGTGTAAGCTTAAGTTGGAAAAATCAACCGGGTGTTAACTTATGTGTTAGAGGGCTCGGATGTGAGTTCTGATAGTTCGGATAGCTTCGGGAGGTGATTTGGGACTTAGGAGAGTAATCAGAATACGTTTTGGAGGTCCAGAATAGATTTAGGCTAGAATTGGCGAAATTGGAATTTTGGCGTTTTCCGGTTGGTAGGTGAGATTTTGATATAGGGGTCGGAATGGAATTCTGGGAGTTGTAGTAGGTCCGTTGTGTCATTTGGGATGTGTGTGCAAAATTTTAGGTCATTCGCACGTGATCTGATAGACTTTTTGTTCGAAAGCGGAATTTAGAAGTTTTTGAAATTCTTAGGCTTGAATCCAATGTGATTTTGGTGTTTTGATATTGTTTTGGGCGTTCCGAAGATTGGAACAAGTTTGAATGAGGTTATGGGAATTGTTAGCATGTTTGGTTGGGGTCCCCGAGAGCCTCGGGTGAGTTTCGGATGGTTGAACAGACCATTTTAAGTTAAAGAAAAGTTGTAGATTTTGGTTTCAGCTGTTGCAGACATTTTGTTCTTCGCGTTCGCGAGTGGACCCTCGCGATCATGAAGGGTCAGGAAGGGAGGCTGGAGATTTGTCCTTCGCATTCACGAGGGGGTCCCACGTTCGGGAAGGGTCGGAATGGGAAGCATCGCGTTCGCAAGATGCCTGACTGCGTTCGCGATGGTTGGTGAGGCTCAGGCATCGCATTCGCGATGATGTGGTCGCGTTCGCGTAGGAGAATTTTGGTCATTGGAATTTTTGTGATTCGCGAACGCAAGGCTTTGACCGCGTTCGCGAAGAAGGACTTCTGATCGCTAGGCAGAATGTTTAAAAGGCCATTTTCGCGAGTTTTGGCCTAAGTTCAACATTGTTTTACTCGGTTTTGGAGATTTTTGAGAGAGATTGAAGAGGGAATCAAAGAGAACTTGTTGGAGGTAAGAATTTTGTACTTAATACTCGATCCTATTGTGATTTCTACCTAATTAAACATGAAATTTAGGGAATTTGAAGCATAAATTGGGGAGTTAGGGCATGGAAACTTGAGGCTTTAATCTAGGGATTTAAGGGGTTATTTATAGTTGGATTTTGGTATTCTTGGTATGTATGAACTCGTGAGAGGATAAGGATTCCGTTGATGTGATTTTTATCGAGTTTTGAGAAGTGTGCCCGGGGGTCGGGTTTGGCCAATTTCGGAATTTTTGGTATAATTTGATTATTTTCGCTTGGGCTTCGATCCTTTAGCATATTATAATGTTATGATTCTGATTTTGGGTAGATTCGGCACGAGTTGAGGCCGAGGCGAGAGGCAAAGGCATCCACTACAAGAAAAACGTCCTTTAAGGAAGAGAAATCTGGTTCCTAAAGATCCAAATCTGGTCCTAATAGAGCAATTATGACGGGAAAAAGCTGGTCGTCATCCGTCGTAATAGCCTCCGATGCCAAAAGTCAATAACGACGAGTTTAGAAACCCGGTCGTTAATTGTTGTTTGTGACGGACAAAATATCTGGTCGCTAAATACATTTAGAGATAACATATCTCGTCCCAGTAGACGATTAATATATTATGAAAAATATATATTTGCTCGTCGTTAAAAAGTATTAGCGACCAGCCTTCTCCTCACTAATAGATAATAAAGATATTATGGAAAATATATATTTGCCCGTCGTTAAATATTTTAGCGACCAACATTCTCCTCCCTAATAGACGATAAATATATTATGAAAAATATATATTTTCCGGTTGTTAACCAGTTTTGGCGGCCAACCTTTAACTGGTTGTAGATTGTCTTTTAGATACGAACAATACTGGCCCCTATTTAAAATAATTGTAGTAACTTTAACGACCGTATTTCTGGTCTTTTATTACCCACAAGCAGTCCTAAAGCTTGACATCACAAAAAAGTTATTCTTATCAATAAATGTCAAATTGCTATATAAAAAGCTATTAATTACATAGTTAACATCTCATGATGTTATATAGTTTCAATATTTGCTCAACACCTTAACAAAAAAACTTAGCTAACATCCTGAGCTAGACTATGATATCATGTTTTACGTAATATTCCTAGCAAAATAATAATAAGGTTGTGTTTCTTTTAAACTTTCATCTTGATTTGTAGCTTCAATCTTCAAAACTAGTAAGTAAAAATTTTAAAAAGACGATAAATAACTATTGATGAAATAATATATGTAAATTTATACTAGCAATGGTTAAACCGCTTACCCCAAATGCAGTCTAAATTTATCAGGTGTTATCCAACAACAACATCAAAAGTGCTACAAGAATATAAGGAAATTAATTAGAAAAGTTTTGGAACAGTAAATCAAACTTCGATTTGATAAAAGAATCGAATCGGGGATTTGTACACTGTTAGTAAGTCCCTTTTCCCCTGGACTTACTATTGTTAAAACCTGTAGACTTCATTTCAGTATGTTTGATTTATCAATTTTTCAAACAAGAAAACTTAAATCTTTCTTTACAAAATAAATAATTTATACGTCAATTATTAATGATTTGAAACCAAAAATTAGCTTTCAAAGGTGCCTGTTCGAAAGTGACAATTAATTTTGTCACAAGATTCACCAGGGTAAGACACAAAAGAACATTATTAGAACTTTCTCAACATGCAGTTTCATGTTGTAAAAACGATGCATATTATCTTGTATACTCTTTTTTCCTTTTAATGATAAGCTAGTCTTACATCCTATTTGACGTCCTAAAGTATACATTCTCAGGTATCTGCATAATGTCTTATGCATTTTGAAACATATTCTATCCCTATATCTTTCTGATGTACTACGAAGCAAAATCAGTTAGTTTTCATGCATCAGAAATAGGATAACGAACAAACTGTCGATGCTGATTAAAACCTGTTGGCAGACAACAATTCAGATTTGAGAAGGAAACGGAAGTGTATCTGAATATGACAAGGAAAATGACAATACTAATCGAACACCAACGACAGACAACAATCAAGATTGGCGAAAGAGAGTAAGTGAATCAAAAACCCATGCACTATCCTCAAGAAATTCAACACTAATCTTACTTTCAATACACATGATTAATAATGTGGTTATGAGCATCCACATATTTGTCAGATATTATTACCTGGACTTACTATTGTTAAAACCTGTAGCTTAATTCTTTATCATATATTTCTCCTTTATTAGTCAATAACTTGATTATAGTTTCCACAACTGCTTGTAATTGATTATAGCCTAATGCATTTGATGAACTTAACAGCAGTTAAGGTTGAGGCCTCAATAATGTCGGGACGAGTAACCCTCAATGCTCAGATTATCTACTTCCAACTTCGTGAACCCAAACTGTTATTCCCATCCTTGAGGCTCATTCATTCATAATATTGCAACAAAGATAGCAATAAGATAGAAATGGCTATATAAAAATAAACAAAAAAAATTAAAAAGCAGGGTATAGTGTTACTAACTTGATCAGCAGACAAAAGTAGTCATTCAGCTTAGCGATGTCGTAGGCGAGACATGTGATTATTGAGCAGCGAAAAATTCCCTTATTTTCTTCATTTCTTTCATCCCAAGATATGATCACGATGATCATTCATGTCAACACTCTCAAATTTATTCTACAATAATCAAAATATCTATTTAGTTAATGCACTGTTCAAGAAGCAGTTCATTGTGCAAGTTTAAGAAGAAGTTCATTCATAGTCTCAAAATTTGTTTCAGTATCATCACCAAATCGGTAAACTGACATAGGAGTTTCATCTCGAAAGGACTAACATAGTTATCCAAAGAGCACACTGTTCCCTGATGCATGCGCCCACATTTGGCATCTCTGTCCCTATCACTAACTAGAGCATAACTTCACACGCCACATGTGCAGAGGTCATTGTGCCCACATTTGGCATCTCTGTCCCTATCACAAACTGGAGCGTAACTTCACACGCCACATGTAAAGAGGTCATTGTGTATGTCATGTCAACAATATGTTTGCATTCTCTGTCCACATCACTAGAACATGAATTTGGATTGACCCCTAGCATGTTGAATTGTTTCTTCTCCTATCAAAATTCTATACTGCCTCCATATGGTTGTATACGTTGACAACAGTGTCATTACTAGCATAAACAGAAATAATTTGAAAAAACAAATAAACCAACTCTGTTTTATATTGCCTTGAAACAGAATTGCATTTCTGTTTACACAAGGTTTGCAGCACCTCACTGATCAAGCTAAATCACAAAAAGAGCATCATGAAAGGGGCATGTTGAACCATATCCAATATTGCTAGGAACAAAAAGAGCATGTTGCAATTGTACCTCAATAGCTGCCCACATGTGATTCAACTTTTCTTGCTTAATATCATTTCACGGTGATACTCCCAGCGGACACATATTGCGGTCACGAACTATTCTGCCCAAGTGCCTCGAAAATAGTTTGTTATTTGTTCCAATCGTTCGATTGTTATAAAAGGTTACTTTCAGCTTTTGTCCGACTTCAAGTGATGCAATTTCTTTGCAGTTATTCCTACCTTGAACTCTTTTTACCTTTTCAGGATTAGATGAACCTACAGTTGGATAATTTGATAAAACTATAGCAACAAAATTTAGTTTTACAAATTAATGACACATGGATTCAAAATGTCATACCTGTTTCAACTGTTTGGGAGTTTTTCATAGCTTGATCACTAGATGGAGGCAATAAAATATTGGTCTGCATATGCTTTTTCTTAAGAACCAATGAGTTTTTATCCATTGTTCGTATTTCTTAATTAGAAGACATGATAAAATTTGATCGTGTGCTTTTAGGAGTTTGCATACGTTGATTATCATAAACTGCATTCTTATGGAAAGATTCCACCTCATTTTCAGAAATCCCTAAAGAGGAGCACAAAAATCTAGGCGTTTGCTCTCGTTCCTTTCTTATAGAACATGGACCCAAGAAATCATATTAGTAAAAAATGTGGCATTTAATTATATATGCAATTAATTAACTGATAGCTCAATGATATCAACTACAATATAAATTAGTAACATTCAAGAATCTGCAACTCCAACAAGACAATAGGAATCAAACAAGCATGATCCAACATACCCAAAATTTATGTGAATCAAAAGGTTGCTTAAGACGAATAAAGGGGAAATTTCTTTGCAGAAATTCTAAGAAAGCAATAACTTGCTATCAAAATTTTACTTAAATAGTGTTGGTCAAGGTTAAAGGTTGAAGAAACAGAAAGGCATAATATTCTGAAACAGTACCAATCCAAACACACTTAGATTATAGATCAAGTGATCAACCAAACTACTACAATAGGAATCAAACAGCTGAAATTTGAATCAAACAACTGAAAGCTTAAACAAACATGGAAGAAGGAGGTAAACATAAGAGATGAGAATGAAAGAAATTTCTATAACTTCTTGCCTACTTTTTCCTTCCAGTATCTAGTTACTTATACTAACTCCCAGCACCTTTCTTGCCCTTCATGTGACATCTAGCTTCTTTGGCACAGTCCTCACACACATGCTCCTTCTTGACGCCACTTTCTGGACATCTAGGTTGGCATCTTTCTTGTCCAACTCACCCTCCAGCTCAGTAGGCTCTGGGTGCACAACATTATCCACCTAACAATGGGTGCCTAACCCTTCCAACATAAAACTAAAATTATTATGTGTCTATTTTTTTCCAATTTGTAACTGTACGAATTGCTATATATATCCCAAACCTTTCTCCTCCCTCCATTCATTGATAGCCATTCACCATAATAACTACTATTAACTAGAATAACCAGTCAAATTTAAAAATGCTCTAATAATTGACAAAATAACCATTCATTAGCCACAAATTCTGCAATTACAACTTAAATAGAGTACGCTGCTTTACCAAATACCTACGACAACTACTTTACATCTTGATTCTAGTAGCCAAGTTACAACCTAGAAGTTTTAACTATAATACAAACCACATAAAATAATATACCAAAAAAGCACTTTCTACAAAATAATTACCAAACCATTTCAGACTGTGGGGAACAAAGATTGCAAAACTCCAAATATTTGACCAAAATATTGAATGACAGTTGAAAATGAACTGTTTTCTCATTTTTTTTATTTCAGATTTGAAAAAACTTACTTGTTTCAACACAGAAGAGGAGTCATACCTGGGATTCGCAATCGAGGGAGGTCAAAAACTGGGTAGACCTGCGATACACAAGCCAACAAACTCGAACCACAAACTCAATTTGAGAAAACAAAATTCTTGGTCGTGAATAGAGAGGCAGACGAGTTTTGTGTATGTTTAAGACACTAGGGCATAAATTTTTGTTTTTGGAAAACAGAGAGTTTCTTTTAATTTTTTGGAATTTTTAATTATAGGATATTAGTTTTGACGCCTATTTTTTAGAAAATAAGATTTTTTAAATATTTTATTATTATATTAGACGATACTCTCTCCCGCTCATCGCCCCTGTTGGGGCCTACTAATATCATTTGGGACCGGTTACTAATTTTTTTAGGGACCAGATTGAATACCCTCGCAATAGAATATAAAATTAAGGACCACAATAAAATCTCGTCCTAATACATATACTTTTAGAGACGGGATTATTAACTCGAACCTAAATATTGGTCGCAAATAACACTTTTTCTTGTAGTGGTCGCAGAGTAGTAATTCACCCGGTTTGAGGTAAGTAACCATTGTAAATCTGGAACTAAGAGTACAAAACCCGGTATTTCGAATTGATTTGATAAATGAGGTGACACACATGCTAGGTGACGAGCGTGTGGGCGTGACCGGTAGGGATTGTGAATTGGTCCATCCCGTAGCGACTATTAAGCCACGTACTTGATTTGAAACCTTATTATATCTCATGTTTTAGACATTTATACTGTATTATGGGTTGTATGTCATGTTTGGGACCTTGTGCCGACCTGTTGAGACCTTTAGGGGCATTTTTACTGTTTTTCCTCGCTATATTTGATTAAAAGCATATCCTCAGTCATGTTTTTCCTATTTATTGTTTTAAACTGGTTTTATCACTTTACTTCTTAATGTGAGAACTGTTCGGACTGAGTTCCCTGATTTCTACTGTTACGCCCGAGTGGCTGTGAGGTTAATGATTGAGAGAGTTTGAGGACCTAATGGGAGGACTATAAATATTATGGATCGGGCTGCATGCTATAGCAATATTATATGTATATATTATGGACGGGGCTGCATGTCGCAGTAATACTTATATGGATCGGGTTGCATGCCGTAGCGATATATATATTGAAACGGGCTATGCGCCGCAGCGATATGACGTTTGGGATGTAGGAGCCCCTCCGGAGCCTGTACACCCCCAGTGAGCGTAGTCGACTATAAACTATGGATCGGGCTGCACGCCGCAACGATTATTATGATTATTACTATTATGAAATACTGTTGAGTCTGAGTGCGGAGTGTGAGTGACGAGAGCTGAGTCACGAGTGACTGAGAGGCTTGCCCGAGAGGCTATATTTATGAGTGATACCTTGCCCGAGGGGCCCATTTATGATATTTTGCTGATTTCACTCTTCTTTTAGAATAAGCCTTTGTTGAAAACTGCTAAGTAAATGAATTCAAAGTATTTCAATTGAAACTGAAGCTTTATGAAGAAACTGGTTTAAGTTTGACTTGAAATTCTGTCGTTTACTCTTCTATATGATTTTTAAACTGTTCGTCACTGCTTTCAAACCTTATTTACTTTAGTTACCTACTGAGTTGGCGTACTCACGTTACTATCTACACCTTGTGTTCAGATCTAGGTGCCCGAGCAGCAGAGTGAGGGTCCTCAGCATTGTCAGAGTTTGCCANTGTCGTGCGAATCTGTTGATCCGAGTACTAAACTTCTATTATTCCATTCTCTCACAGATGGTGACGACACATGTTACCGGTCAGGATGGACAACAACCAGGTACCAGCTGGGGATACTAGAGGCCGAGGACGCGGTCGAGGCCGTGGTTGGGGCAGGGGTGTGGCCCGCACCGTAGCTAGGGCAACACCTGCAGATCCACCAGCTGCCCCAGTTCAGGATCTGGTCCCAGTTGCGGACGCTCCAGCAGCACCAACTTAGGCACCAGTTGTGCCTATATTGATTTCAGGCCTTCAATGGGCTTTAGCTCAGATTTTATTAGTGTGTACCGGTTTGGCTCAAGAGGTCTCAATTACTATGGTCGCAGCTACTTCTTAGGCCGGGGACCCTGACTCCCGTTGCTCGTACACCTGAGCAAGTTGTGCAAGGACTTCAGACACCGGGGGCACCTCCAGCCCAGCCGGTTGCACCAGCTCAGGAGTATGTGGTACCAGTTATGCCCGACGATGAGCAGCATTGATTAGAGATGTTTGGTAGACTTCAGCCTCCGACTTTCAGCGGTACTGAGGGCGAGGATGCCTAGGGTTTCTTGGATAAGTGTTAGAGGATGCTTCGTACAGCAGGTATTCTGGAGACCAGCGGGGTCACTTTCACTACCTTTCAGTTTTCTGGAGCTGCCTTCACTTGGTGGGAGGCTTATGAGAGGCGTAGGCCTATTGGTGCAGTGCCCTTTACCTGGCAGGAGTTCTCTATTCTCTTTCTGGAGAAGTATGTGCCATAGTCTCGCCGAGAGGAGCTACGTAGGCAGTTCGAGCAGTTGCGTTAGGGAGAGATGACTGTGACACAGTATGAGATGCGGTTCTCTGAGTTAGCTTGTCATGTAGTCTGGTTGGTTCCTACAGATCGAGAGAGGATCAGGAGGTTCCTTGATGGCCTCACATATCAGCTTCAGATTCTCATGACTAGAGAGTGAGTGACAGGTGCTACTTTCGAGGAGGTTGTTGACATCGCTCGTGAGATTGAGTCGGTTCGTTGCGAGGAGCGAGAGGAGAGGGAGGCCAAGAGGCCTCGGGGATCTGGTAGCTTTGGTAGTGCTCCTTTGAGGGGTCAGTTTCAGCACGGCAGAGGTCGTCCATTCAGGCAGGCTTAGTCAGCTCGCCCAGGTTATCGTGGGGCATCATCAAGTCATGGTTCTCACAGTTCTCATCAGGGCCATTCATTATTCAGTGCCCTTCCATCCTAGAGTTCATCCCGTGCTCCATCTGTTTAGAGTTCTTCCATGCCAGGTTCTTCTACTGGTCATTCCGGTGCCAGGGGTTCCCTTCAGTCCCCATCTCCAACACCAGGGAGTTGTTATGAGTGTGGAGAGTTTGCGCATATGAGGAGGCAGTGTCCTCATCTTCTTGAGGGTCCATCTAAGCAGCGGGGCCAGCCCTCGACTTTAGCTCTAGTCACTTCACCACCCGCTCAGGCAGCTAGGGGCAGGGGCTAGTCAGCTAGGGGTCTCCCCATAGGGGGAGGTCGACAGGTGGTGGTTAGGCTCATTTCTATGCCCTCCCAAGTAGACCAGATGCTGCTTCTTCAGATGTTTTGATTACAGGTATTGTCTCAGTCTGCCGCAGAGATGCCTCTGTGTTATTTGATCCCGGTTCTACCTTTTCTTACGTGTCATCATACTTTGCTCATTATTTGGATATGCCCCGTGAGTCTCATGTTTCACTTGTTCGTGTATCTACTCCAGTGGGCGATACTATTATATTGTAGACCGTGTGTACAGGTCCTTTGTGGTGACTATTTGGGGTCTGGAGACCCAAGTGGATCTTTTATTGTTATGTATGGTGGATTTCGATGTCATATTGGCCATCGATTGGCTATCTCCGTGTCGGGTTATATTGGACTGTCATGCTAAGACAGTGACGTTGGCTATGCCGGAAGTGCCACGGATTGAGTGGCGGGGTTTTACCGATTTTGTCCCCAGTAGGGTAATTTCGTTTCTGAAGGCCCAGCGTATGGTTGGGAAGGGTTATCTCTCGTATTTAGCCTTTGTGAGGGATGTCGGTGCAGAGACTCCCAATATTGATTCTGTTACAGTGGTGAGGGATTTTCTTGATGTGTATCCTACAGACCTGCCGGGAATGCCACCGGACAGGGATATTGATTTTGGTATTGATTTGGTGTTGGGCACTCAACCCATCTCTATTCCACTGTATCGTATGGCACCCGCAGAGTTGAAAGAGTTAAAGGAGCAGCTTCAGGAACTCCTTAACAAGGGGTTCATTCGGCCTAGTGTGTCACCTTGGGGTGTGCCGGTTCTATTTGCGAAGGCGAAGGATGTCACTATGAGGATGTGCATTGATTACAGGCAGTTGAATGAGGTTACAATTAAGAATAAATATCCTTTGCCTCGCACTGATGATTTGTTTGACCAGTTTCAGGGAGTGAGAGTGTTCTCCAAGATTGATCTCCATTCATATTACCACCAGTTGAAGATTAGGGATTCGGATATCATTAAGATGGATTTTAGGACCCGATATGGTCATTATGAGTTCTTGGTGATGTCTTTTGGGCTGACCAATGCCCAGCAGTATTCATGCACTTGATGAACAGCGTGTTCCGGCCGTATCTTGACTCATTTGTCATAGTTTTCATTGATGATATTCTGGTATATTCGCGTAGTCAAGAGGAGCACGCGGAGCATTTGAGAGCTGTGTTGCAGAGATTGAGGGAGGAGAAGCTTTATGCAAAGTTCTCTAGGTGTGAGTTCTAGCTAAGTTTAGTGGCATTCTTAGGGCACGTGGTGTCCAATGAGGGTATTCAAGTATATCCAAAGAAGATAGAGGTAGTCCAGAGTTGTCCTAGACCGTTCTCAGCTATAGAGATTCGCAACTTTCTTGGTTTGGCGGGCTATTATCGCCAGTTTGTTTAGGGATTCTCATCTATCGCATCGCCCTTGACCAAGTTGACTCAAAGGGTGCTTTATTCAGGTGGTCGGATGAGTGCGAGGAGAGCTTTCAGAAGCTCAAGACTGCCTTGACCACAACTCCAATGTTAGCGTTGCCATCAGCTTCAGGTTCATATACCGTGTATTGTGATGCTTTGAGAGTTGGTATTAGGTGTGTGTTGATGTATGAGGGTAGAGTTATTGCTTATACTTCTCGTCAGTTGAAGCCCCATGAGAAGAACTACCCTGTTCATGATTTGGGGTTGGTTGCCATTGTTTACGCGTTGAAGATTTGGAGGCATTATTTGTATGGTGTGTTTTGTGAGGTGTTTACTGATCATCGTAGCCTCCAGCACTTGTTCAAGTAGAAGGATCTCAATTTGAGGTAGCGGAGATGGTTGGAGTTGCTAAAGGATTATGATATTACTATTTTGTACCATCCGGGGAAAGCATATGTGGTAGCTGATGCTTTGAGTCGGAAGGCGGTGAGTATGGGGAGTTTGGCATATATTCCAGTCGGGGAGAGACCTCTTGTAGTGGATATTCAAGCCTTGGCCAATCGGTTCATGAGGTTAGATA